TTTACACAAAGTGACGTAACACCGATGTTAACCATGAAGTACTCCTCCCCGATGTACTTGTTGAACGAGAATACCGCGAGTTCTATGATCCCCATGAAAATCAATTGCATGTAGGTGGTTTTCCCTAACACAGCGCCCATCGAAATAAGCGGCGCTGCCACTGCTACGTCGGCATTTAATAAACTGAAAATTTAATTTTTAGTCGTCAGATGAAAATGAAGGGGAGGTGCCGATACAAATGTTAATTGCATGTATAATTGCAATAATAATTAATTCAAATGGAAATGACGACGATTTGTGCTAAAAAACAATTTTAAATTAATTGAAAATTTCAATCAGATGAGAAATTATATAAATTTTTAAATTCAATGTGAAAGTCGACTTTGACTATTGGCCGGTTTTCAATGAATATCTCGAAATCTAGGGGAGATAGCGGAATTTTTGTCATGACCTTTTTTGTAGCCCTCGCTCTACAAAAAAGGTTTCCATAAAAATTTAATTATCGCCCTTAGATTCGGAGATATTCCGCGAAATCTCAGCCGAGGGCTAAATCGACTTGAATCGTTTTACGGTTTCACTGTTGATTTTAATTATAAAGTGTATCGACATATTAAGTAATTACCTCATCAACGACAAAGGTGCTTTCCCACTTTTCGTGACATTAATAACCCCCTCGCAGATCATTGCCACCTGAATGAGAATAGCACCGACCAGAAACGTCAGTCCGAGGGCACTCTGGCCGTATCGTTTCGGAAACGTCATGAGAAATCCAAAACCGATCCATATCATAACGTGAACGTCCTGGTACACTTTAATCAGATAATTAGCTCTTCAATGATTGATGAAAATTCAATGATAAGCGGATTTATTAGTCGCCGACGGTTTTGGACATGTTATCTATTTAGAGATAGATTAGTTATCGAATTAGCTGGATACTTAATTGCCGAGCTGAAGAGCACTCAACGACGAAAGCTTTCAGAATTTGATTCTCGATTCCGTACAATAATGGGAGACGAAATTATTCAATCAATAATTTTTCCTTTCATTTCTAATTCACTTATCATTATTATTTTTATTATTTATGATATTTTTATTTCATAACTTTTTTATTGAGTCATTTGCCGCCAAATGAATTTTCGAAGTTTTTCCTACTCTATTTTTTTCACTTCTCAGAAAAGAAAGCAAACTAAACAATTTAATTAAATTAAATTTAATTTAAATTAAGATAAGATTTAATTCTATAGAAAATATCTCAATATAAATGAATGAGTTTTATAAAAAAATGGAATTCTATCGCTGCGGAAGCTGTGTAATTTTTGAATCGGCAAAGAACTTCCAAAAAATTCAATTTCTGTGAAATTTTTTCGTAGACGTCGATCCGTTTTCCTCGAGGTCTTTGCAATCCGTACTCCAAATAAAAAAATAAAAATCTCCACTTTGAACTCTGAAAAATCCAGAAGTATCGATCTTCAACTCAAACTAAGAAGTTTCCTTATTACCCCGGGGAAAAATTCATGTCACTCTGCGATTTTCCTAAACTTTTAACGAGCACTTAAAAACACTCGAATATTAAATGGTCCCAGATTCAAAGCTGAGAAGATTAGAATCTCCATCGGAGGGCGCAAACGGCCAACAGCACGGCGTTTTAATTATCCACAGCAATAAGGACCATTAAAACAAGTAAAAAAAAGAGAAAACCGCTGAAAACTCACGCGTGTACGAATCGGCTGTTGTAGCCTTTCCATTCAAATAAGCAGAGAGACCGTGTTCGTAGCTAGTTGCATTGGCCTCAGTGCCATATTCAAACACAGCTAAAAAAGCGCAGACTAGAAATGCCTGGAGAAAACACAGAGCAGTACCGTGAGCACGACCCGTTGTCATCCTAATTAGCCGAGTGCAATTGCAATTTTTTAATCGATGAGAGAACCAAGAAGTAGACAATTTCAATGCGCAATTGTGAGTTGAGGCGTTTGCGTCGGGTTTCAGACTGCGATATTACCTATTTCAGAGTTCACATCTTTTATTCCGAGGGCCTTATCACTGGTCGAGATCGGGAAAAATGCGTATGCCACGAAAATAGAGCAAAAGAATGTAAAAGGAGAGAATATCTACACGAGCAATTCCAACAATTCTGCGTATCACGGACGAAAAAATTTAATTTTAAAACGTAGCGAAGTCTATAGAAAATTCTATTGGATTTCTATTAAAATTTTGAGAATTACTGAATTTTCTGCGGGTTTCTTAATGCAAATGTCCAGTAGAAAACATTTTATCGAACAAAATCAGTGGAATTTTGTCTTTCTATAGAACGTTTTCTATTGCGACATTTTCTACAGGAATTCCTGACGGAAATTTCTCCGCTTTTCATCGAAAAAATGAAACGGAAGGTATTTTGAGCCGAAGAATTTCTGTGGAAAATGTCTCAAGAGAATGAGTTGCACAGAAAAAGCGAATTCTATTGACTAATAAAATTAATAGAGTTTAACAGAATTTTCTAACGAATTCGCTAGGACTTCTCTTCCCATAAAAAAATAAATAACTGTTTCATTTTGAAAATTTTCGTAATTTTACACACGCAAAATTGCTCGCGTGTGCTTCACATACTTGGATACACATCATTGGGTTTCCTCGTCTCTCCCTGGGCACGCTGATTCTCGTTCACAGTTGGGGGAGTCCCAGTGGCATCGGGCCCATAGCTCACGAGTAATCCCATGAGTACCATGACAATCACTTCAACGGCAATGAGATGGAAAATCTGGCGTTTTCCCGCCCACTCGTACCTCGACTGTGTGCAGATTGATATTAAATTTAATATGAGTTCTGCTATTGGATTTTTTATGAAGATTAGTTTTAGGCTCGACTGGGGGTTCAAGTTGAATATTATTGGGTACTTGAGGAGATTTTGTATTCAAATTTTCTTGAATGATCCACGGCGGGATGTTATCCTGTTTGAGGGCTAATCAGTGTGCACGGCCGTTCATTGACGTTCAATTGAACTAATTCAGATTTTTTTGTTATATAACAGTCTGAATTATCGGGTAATTGCGCGTTATTGATCATCAGTTTTGTTTTTATTGAAGAATTCTGCTGCTCTAGTGTGCGTTTTTTAATAGAAAAATTTGTATTGAGGCATTTTCGACGAAACTTGGGAAAAATTTGCTGAGGAATTTCCGTAGAAAATATTTTCGTACAATAAACTGAAAGAAAAATCGAATTCTATTGATTTTTTCTGCGGAATATTCATTGAACATTTCTATCGGAAAAAACTTTATCCGATCAAATATCTCTCAGCAAGATAACACCGTAAAGTTTCATAATCTCCTATAAAAATCGCGCAGAAAAAACAGATTTTTTCAATAGAACTTAATAAAACTTCAGTAGAATCCCTCAGAGAAAGCGCTAGGTTTCCCTTAAATTATCTAACGCGTGTCGTTACCTGATCCATGTTAAAAAATCCAATATCTTCAGTTTCTCCTGGAATATCAGCGAAACACTCCACTAATGCACTTGCCTCGCAGTCGTCTCCCTGTCGAAAAAAACTCCCCAGCGGATACACCAGATTCGTTTAATACCTTGGCTTCCTATCCCGCGCACAGCAGTTGACCCTCACTTTTCATCGGCGATCGGCACACATTGAGTCATTCCCCGTAAATATAACAAGTGCAGTGCACAAATGTCACCAGAAATTTAACCGCCCAATATTTGCGCTCTTGTGACGTACGCTTTGGATGATCAATTGGCAGGTGGCTGTTTAGAGCCGAGAAAAAATTTCCGGAAAATTTGTTTCGGAAGTTATCTGGGTCGTACCCATTACGACCGCAGCGATTTCAACGAGGAAAACTCACGTGGACCACTGGCCCGAGGTAACCAGACACGCGAAGAACGTCCACTGCTCGATCGAGCCGATCAAAACACATGCATTAAATAGCAGCGCGCTGTCCCCGAAGCTTTATGCAATCCGGGGTGCGTTAATGTGGAGACGAATCGGTGAGGAGGAAAACCTAGCGAATTTTGTAAGGAATTCTATAGAATTTCCGTTAATTTTCGGCGGATTGTATTGAAAAATTCCGCAGCGCATCTCCGCGTTTTTAAAATTGAGAAAGGTCAAAATGTTTTTTAAATAGAGAAATATTAAAATGTTCTTTTTCAATAGAATTTGATTTTTCTATACGCAATTACACATTTCCATTGAGATATTCTCTACAGAATGTCCATTCTACTGTTCGATTGTTCGTCAAGAAAATTAGACAAAAAAAATTTTCGATTTTTCGAGAATATTTTCTACGAAACATTTCAGTAGAATCGACCAAAAACTCTTTAGAAAATTCAATAGAAACCTAATAGAATTGTCTAGAGAAATCACTAGATTTTTCTATTAAATTTTTTTATTTGTGCAATTAGAGAAAAAAAATTGGAAAAATCATGTCGAGGAATTCCTATAAAAAATGTCTTAATAAAACGCTGAAATCGTAGTGATTTTCTGTATAAGACACTTTCTGATGAAAATTTTCCATTAAAAAACCGTCAGTGAAGAAATAGAAATCCAATAGAATTTCCGAGTAAATTCCCTAGAATTAGATTTTTACATGAAATTTCGTACGTGTTCAAGACACGCAATCGTCTCTTTTGTTTTTCCATGAATAATGATTCAAATGATTTGCATTACGTGTTCTGAGACTTGACCTTCCTATCGGCAGGGGATTGATCGAACGTAATAGGGCTGAGCGGAATAGAAGAGAACGATTTTATACATCTTGTTGAATAGTAAATGATGAGTGATTTGAGGGGGGACCTAGATTTTGTCCCGCAACTGCTTGTTTGCGAGATGAATGCGTGATTAATCAAGATTTCAGTCCATGAATTCTAAAAAAAAATCCCAACAGAATAAATTAAATAAAAAAGACAACCAGCGAAGTTATTCTATAAAAAAATATCTATTAAAAAGCAAACAGCCCTTAGTTTTCCCATTCGCCTCCCCACGAATAAAAACTCCCATCGACTTCCACATAATTATTTATTAATTAATTTATTAATAAATTATTTATCAATAAAGTTACAAAAGTCGTCGCACAAATGCAACATTGTGCTACTGAGTATCATAGTCATCATCTGTGATTACTTCAAGTTATCTAAAATGAAAAAAAATGAGCGTAGAAAAGGAAAATTTGATACAAAGTGAACTTACTCGGTAATTACTCTTTAGACTTAATAGTACATGACACAAATAATAAGGTTTTGGCAACTCTTGTGGGGGAACAATGGATAAATACTGTTTCTTCCTTATTTCCTGTTCTCGCACGTACGAAAAAACTTAACCGACAGTTCCAGCATTTTTGTAAAGAAATCCCATTGAATTTCTATTCGAAAATTATATTTATTTTGTGCGCCAATTCGTTCATTTCCGTGAGCAATGGAATTTTAATTGATTTTTCTACAGAGAAATAAAAATCTACTGACATTTTTCTGCCAAATATATCCAACAGAATTGGCGCAGAAAACCAATAGAATTGTTTAATACGATTAAAACAGAAATTCAAGAGAATTTCTTTTAGAAAACGCCGGGTTTTTCTATTAAATTTCTTCATTCTTGTACGAGTGAAATTCATTATTCAAACGACAGCTAGTGTGACGATTGCCACGGCGAATTGTGCACACGAGGACAAGATTAATTGTGTTTTGCTGGCTGATGCTGTCTGCATGGGGGCGTTCTCCTGACGACTAGATGACTGCTCTGATCCCAATGGCTCCTTCTCTGGGCACGGCAGGTCCTCGAATTTCAGGTCCGATATGTGTTTGATGTAGCCCAGCTTTCCATCAATTTTCTGCAACTGATTATTTAATGCATGAGGTAACGATGGGCTCTAAGTTGGCATTAATTATTCCCAATGGTTTTAAAGCTTCTTTCGGGGGCACTCACCTTTCCAGTCGCAATTTCAGTGTTGGGATTATTCTCGTCGTCGTAGTCATCTTCCTGTTCACTCGGCGAGGGGTCCTTCGCCTTGCTAACTTCGTACGATTCACCTAAGAACATATTTTAGAATTTGCTGTGGCGCTGGGGAAATTGCGTCCAACGATTTTCCGAAATGTTCGACAAAAAAATTCATTTCTTCGAAAACAATTGCATAAAATAGTGCTATTATTTTCTTCGGCATTCATTGTTTAAACTTTTAAAAACCGTATTTTCGAAAATTTATGCTTATAAATTATTTGTAGAAAATGCTCGTAATTTAAAAAAATGGCAATTTTTAAATTATTTCATCAAGCTTCCTTCAAAAGCACTTTCTAATATTTTTTTTAGATTTTTAAAATGTTCTCCACGGTTCATTATCGAGATTTAAATTTACCTACAAAGTTTAAATAATAAAATGATTGCAAAATGTCCGGAAACTTGGGGTCAAATGGGGTTCATTTCAGGTGAAAAAACATTTCACTGGAGAAAAATATCCAAAGTACTTGGATATCCTTAATTAACTTTATAATTTCAAAATTGATAAATTCTATGAATTAATGAATTTTTGAATTCAAAATAATACGAATTGAATACGTGATGGGGCTTTCCTAAAATTAAACCTGAGTTCAATCGAATGATAAATTAAATGTCCATCAAATTCTAAAGAAATTCCCGATTTTTCACGGCTAAAATTTGCCTGAGACTGGCTATCGATCACTTGTCATCCGTTTTGCGAAAATTCATTTGAACCTCGAGATAAAAAATTCCATCAGTGTTGAAATTAGAACAGAAATGACTCACACGTTGCCCTCCGCGCCCTTAAGATTTATTTCATTGTAGAATGGTTGACAAGACGGGGAAAATGAACGGAGAGGGGTTCTCGGTGACAGAGGGGGAGGGGTTCAGTTGTATTCGTTTATGCATTTGTAAATTGGTGAGATCACGTCAATTAGGGGAAGTGGATCGCTGACGACTACGGTTTTGAGTCATGATACGGCCTGGTGTGAATTTAATGTAGAGTTATTTCGGAGAAAATCGATACTGTATTCGTAGGCCGAGGGGGAACGAGAATTTTCTATAGAATCCACGGAAAACCCTTGGAATGCTTGGGAGATGGTGCGCTTGATGCTATTCCGGGAGATTTATCTCGTTTGAGTGATGAAATAATACGGAAACACTGGGGAAATTGTCGACAGATGTTAATGTTTCATTGTGCGAAGAGATTTTGTAGAACTGAAACTCTTGGCTTTTAATATTCCCTGTCAGTTCAGGAAAATGACAGGCTTGAATGGCGGCGAAATAATCGGAATGAGAAGCGAAAATGAAAGAAGAATTATTTGATTCAATCTAAAACTGTGGGAACATTCGGGGAAAATTGTTTTCTTCAAAACACGATTGAATTTCTTCATTTTTAAAATGAAGAGCTAATTCGGGGATAAAAAAAAGTAAATATAATTTTCATCATTCCTCACAAATTCATGTACATCTGCAATACAATTAAGCTATCGAACTGCTCGAATTTTCACGTAATTGAAAGTTCATGAGAATTGAAAATGAGGACGAATGAAATATTTTAGCGAAAACTCCGATTACATTACCTCGTTTCAAAATTAAACAGCTCAACCGGGGATAACGGTGAATTTAATTCTCTGATTTGAGATGATATGAGTATTTTTAGAATTCTCCAGACATTTATATTCATCTTTAATTCGAAACTTTTCTTCAATTAAATTTAGCATGAAAATATTCCTGACAGTGAAGCCATCGAGCGCCTCGAATTAATTTTGCCGCCTCAAAGAAATTATTTTCATGGCTTTCGCTCGTTCCTCCACTCAGCGCAATATCCCGTAAACTTCAGCCACGAAATCCATCAAATTTCACGACAAATAGTGTGCATGATCCAATCACAAAGGAATGCCCCAACTATGATAAAACCATGAAACCCAAGACGCGTTGATCCACATTTCTCTAACATGATATTCCACGCCTTCGGAGAATGCTGATGGCGTCCACATTCGAGGGTATGTGTCATGAATGGTGATTAAAAAGATAAACGAGAAACATATTATAAGAATCCTCTTCCCTCCCGGCAAATCGCACATGTTCGCTCCCCGGGTTTTTTTAACTCGAAGGCTGAGCCCTCCAGAAGAGACTGGAAATAAAAGACTCAACAAGGATGTTCAACCTTCGGGAGAAACTGTACCAGTGCCACATTAGCAGGACTAGATCTTTGCATTGCAATCGACAAAAATATGTGGAAACTGTAAATTTCGGTTCAAACATTCCCTGAAAGGTGACAACACCGGGGAATTTTAAACGGATATACTCTTGAATCTTTAATTAACTGAAAATTCAAGCTAATTTGGTAATGAATGTTCATGTTTTCAATTAAAGGTCCAGTAAAAATGTAAAATTTTAATTGAAAAAAAATTGGGATTCATCTCGTTCGAGTAATGAAATAAAACGGAAACACTGGAGAAATTGTCGACAGGTGTTGGCGAGAAATCGTTGGAACATCTGACATTTATCCTATATTGTTAATTTCAATCAACGCTAAAGTATTAAAATAAAATTAGTGAAAAAACGCCTGATTAAAGGGAAAAAATAGTCGAGCATGCCGGAAATTCATCGTTGAAATCTCAAGCCCCCCAAACTCAAACACAGTATAAATGAAAATTTCAATACCAGAATCATGTTTGACTTCGATTCCCGTCTCATTATTCTCGACCTCGTACTCGTCAATACTCCCGTTCTGGCTCTCGAGGAAGCAAGTGAGTGAGCCCAGGGAGTCTCTCAAAACTTTGTTAGAAGTTTCGTTTCTGACCCCAAACATCCACGCCAGTCTGCAGTCGCAGATGAACTTGTTATCTGAAATTGAATCAAGGAAAAAACACGAGTCGTTAATGCCAGATGAAACAAGAGTATTCGTGCAGATTCAATGTATTTTAATGAATACACTGTCAAAGAGATGAAAATATAACAATTCTCTGTGAAATTTGATAGAAATCAAAATTTCCTCTTAAATTTAATTTATTACGTTTCAAAAAAATGCTCGTAATTTTAAAATTTTCTGCTAAAAAAAAGCCAAAGTACTTAAAATTAAAAAAATAGGTAAATATATTCTCCTATTGTGAACAAATTGAACATTCTGTTTTCTCGTATTTGTGCTGCTCAAAAAATTTCAATTTCATCAAACTTCCAGTGAATTTTCATTCAACTCTGAAATTCCCAAATTTTTCTCCCCTAAATAAAATTCTATTTCCCTTCCCCTTAAATTGCCAACCAATTATCCATGAAATTTCACTGTTTTCCTGGTCGTTTTACCCTACACTTCCGATCAATTTCCACCAAACTATCGTAAATTTTCCAAATATATTTTCCTCCCTATGAGTAACGCTGATGTCGGCCTATTGCGCTTTTGTGGTACCGGCCCCAGTCTCCATAAGCGTCCTACTTGTAATTGTATTGTCCCTTAGGCTGTACGACGAGGTACGTGAGTGTTATTGGCGTCGATGCATCGAGGCATACCACCCGCCGGGTAACAAGGGGAGGCTTCAAGGGGGCTAGTAGATAACTTCTTGTGTACCTTTTTTTTCCAATCTCCCTACTCAGGTAAAAGCAACCCGGGGGTTTTCCCCTCCCTCCCCCGGGTAAAAAGAAAAGCCAGGTGTAGCTAGGGGCCAATCTCTCCATCTTTCTCCCCTCAGCATTGGAAATATGTTGAAAATATCTCCTAAATCTCGCCCGTAAATTCCCGAACCCAAACGTGAAATTTTCAAAAAAAAAAAAAAAAAAAAAAAAAAAAAAAAAAAAAAA